GCACTTTGGTTTCAGAAGGTGATGGACACGACCGCGTCCCGGCAGCTTTGTGCTCCGGCACTGGGTTTGCCTGACCCGGTGTGAGCGCTCCTGATCCCAGTGTAATCGCCTCCCTCCTGTTTCTGTGTACTTTTGTTTTTTAATGGGCGGCCCTGCTGTAGTATCTTTTTAAATAGAGGGCAAAAACTTTAAACCTCTCAAACAGTCACTTTTGGAAACCCATAGGCCTAAGGATTGACATGTAAAAATCAATGTAGACGGCAGTGGTGGCCAGGCCACAGCAGCAGGGGACCAACCTTTTTGGCAGGCAGGCCACAAACTAGTCTTGCTCTCCTCCAGTGCCTCCCTGCTCCCCTTCCCCTGTCTGGTCTGCTCTGCTTTGTGCATCTTGCCCGGTCTGCTGCAGCGTCTCTCATGCGCACGGACACACGCACCTCCTGCCGCTTGTGACACCAGTGCCACGCGTTGGCCCCCACGGCAGCAGGTTGCCATGTCTCTCACCAGTGACTTGGTGTCAGCTGCACTGGGACAGATCTGTATTAACAGGCTTTGGGTTGACTTTTTCAGAGTCTCTGTGAAGAGGTGTAAAGATAAAAGTCTGGAAGAGGCTCTTGTGCTGTCCAGGGAGGTGAGCAGAGAGTTATGGGAACTGGACGATGCCGACGTGCTTCCTTTAATCCGCTGCGTCCTTGCTTTCCAAATGGAGGCGACCTGCAGTTCCAGTTCTTTCCATAAGCTTGAACAGGTATGTAGCACTCTGCAGCAGCTGCTCCATGGCTCTGGGTGTGTACAAAGTAATTTTATGGCTACTTGAACAAGCCACCCCATTTGCAGGGGATACTTGCAAAACTATGACAGCACCTAGTGCTTCTAACACCCATTATTTACAGCTGTCAGTGCTCTTCAGTCACAGGTACTCACAAACAGCCTTACAAGGTAGTGGTAGGAGATCCAGTTTACATCAGAGGAAACTGAAATCGGAGAGATGTTTCCTGATGTGTCCAAAGTCACACAGCAAGTAACATGAATGGCACGTGCCTCTGGTGGCTGGGGGGCACGGCTGCGCTGGCAGCAGTGAGTGGGGAGCTCCCGCAGACGCTGCCAGCACTGTTGGGGGGGGGGTGGCGGCGGCAAGCACCGACCATGGGTCGGCGACCACCCACAGACACCGGCAGCGCTCCAGGGGCAATCAGGGACCACTCGCAGGCACTGCCAGCAGTGGGGTGGCAAGCAGCAACTGCCTGCAGGTGCTGCTGACAGTGTCAGCGGTGCCTTTTTGCAGGGGGTGCACAGCCACATGCACCCCCTACGCATTGCCTCAGCAAGTAAAAGACAGGGCTGGGAATAAAAGTTAATTTTGAAGGATCTGGAGACCCAAGTTAGATTCCTGCTTGAACTCTCCATTTACTGGGTGAACTTGTCCCTCAGGCACCATACAGAAAACTAGATACTGCATTTTAAATAGGGTCTCCCTTATAGAAGAGGTTTGTCTCTGCTTTCCCTCTAAAGAAAACTGAGGGGAGGAAAGAAAAGAGACTTTGCCCTGTTGCTGAACTACTTGTGCGTATCTTCAGTAGGAAAACAACAACTTAAACCAATGGTTCTCAACCTTTTTTGTACCAGGACCCATTTGTAAGCATCAGTGGTCAGTCTCGACCCAGTAGCCCTTGCTCCCAACCCGCTGTCCCCAGGCACCAGCTCCCTAGTGTTTGGGTGTGAGTGTGAAAAGCCATTTTCCCACATTTTTCTTCTTAAAGGAGAATCCATCTTTAAAGTTTCTTGATCCATTTTTAAAGTTTGCTTGCAACCCTTTCCTATATTTTTGCAACCCACAGGTTGAGAAACACTGACTTAGACCATATCGAGACAGAGAGATTGTCTCCTGGACGCCTCGCTTCTTATCTGAATGCCTCCCCTCCCCCACTGACAATCCGATAACATCTTATGGCAACTCCAGTAATTGCTATTGGCAAATTTATATTAGGGGAAAAAACCTGCATTGCATGAAGCTAAACATGAACCAGTGTCACTTACCGGTCTCTGAGCTTGAATAGCGAGGGAAGTTCAGGGCTTGTGTTTTGCAAACGTTCAGATAAGATTACCTTAAAGTGGTCCCTTTTAGCCCAGAAGATCACTGAGGTTAGCAGCTACACACAAAGAGGGGAGGCAGCACTAGGTGATCAGCACAGGCAAAAGTCCCTTAATTGCATGTGCAGATCCCTCTCTAGGATGACTTGGGTACAATGACGTAGTTAAAGCACATAATGCAGTAGTTCCCAGACTATGGATCGCACCACTAAATGGGGTCGCAACAGAAGTGGATGGGGTCGTGGTACTGTGCTCTCTCCCACGCCAGGTCCTGCCCACTGGCCTGCAGAGACCCAGGGCAAGGGTATTAGGGTGGGCAGCCTGCATCCTCACCTCCCTACTGTGGCTGTGCCACCTGCGGGAAAGGGGATGGGACGGGGCGGGCGGGGAGCCAGGCTTTGCACTCCAGCCTCAGTTGCTGTTGCTTCCTGCAGGCAGCAGCTGGGGCTCAGGTGCTGCTGGGGTGGGATGGAGTGGGCAGGGGGCTGCAGGCCCTGGCCCTAGGGCACCTGGGGAGAGAGTGGGGGGCACCAGCAGGGCCAGGGGGCTGTGGGTCGGGAGTGAGGGGCCCTGCTGAGGAAAAGTTTGGGAAGCACTGACATAATGGGTCGGGATGCTTATCCATGGTACTGGAATGACCAGACAATTAAACCTTTCCTTTCCCATACAGATCATTATGAAGTTGTCTGAAGGTAAAGAATCCCTGGTTTCTGAAGAAGTGAGCAAATTAATGAGGAGTCTGGTCAAGTGCAAACAGGTGAGAGATGTTTTTATTTTTAAAGAAAGGCTCAGAATGAAAAAGGAGGTCTCCATCATGAACCAGGATCTGCAAGCCTGAAGTCTTGCAGCTGTGCAGAGGCTGGTTGACTGACTTCAGCAGGGTACTGCAGGGGTCTGTTTGGCAGATGGAATTGTAGGTCAGGACCTTCATTCAAGGGCAAGATCTGAGCTAGTGATCCTGATGCAGCAGAGTTGCCAAATTGGGGGGTGTGGCTGAAGCCCATATATTCACTCCCGTGACATTTGAATGCTCATGCTATCCTCAATTGCAGCAAGATAAGTGCTAGCATACTCCAAGGGGCCTAAGCCATTGTCGCAGGTTTACCAACTTTTCATATATATAGCAACTACTCTTGTATACAACCAGAATCCTCCTGTTACAGCCTACATTGTTTCCTGCCAGTGCTAGAGATGTACCTAGGTTAGTGGCACTTATGTGTACCATCACAAGCTACTGTAATTTGTAACACCATAAGAAGAACTTGGTAGGAACAAGAGTCTGATTATAATGAAGGGCGCACATGCACCCCCCACCCCAAATCCCTCAACATATACTTCTGTTTATCAAAAATACATATTGTTAATCATCACTGGTGGGAGGAGAATACAGAAAGTGTACACAATAACCAGGTGATTTTAAGTGTGATATTTCATTCACTTAAGGGTGAATGTCAGTACTGCTCCTGATCCTTCAGGCCCTGAGTTGAGTAATCTAAGAGTTTTTACTCTGTTTCTCATCTGGCTGCGCATTCCCATTAGCATGGCTGAATTGTGAGCTGTGATTTTGGCAGAGTAGCTTGACAAAGCTCAGCAGATAGAGCCTAAATTTTCAAGTAAGCATCTAATCACCTTTTGGGTCCCTTATGTCTCATTGTTCCTCACATACAGTATCCCTGTTGCTCTGAACATGCATCCTGCAGTCCTCTTAAGTGTGCCTGTGCTTCCTCCTCCTTGCAGGTGCTGTGTCCTGAAGACCTCCAGACAGGTTAGTCTCAAAACAGTTCCTTACGTTTTTGGAACCCTCTCTTGGCCTCGGTTGTAGAGCAACTCTTAACTCTGGCACACTGAACAACATGCACCAAATGCCTGAAACAGTCCTCTGGCATTAACAGGAGAGTAAGGTTGAACCATCCTAAATTTTCATATGGGCTGAACTACCAGTGCACTGTACAGGTCTCAGGAGGAGATGCTAGACCTCTTTGCCCACTCGTTCAGACCAGATGGGAAACAAGAAGTATTGCTGAGGTCTTGATCCTACGTTATTACAGGCTGAGTATGGGCTCAACTCTGAGGGCACACCCAGCAAAGTCAAGACCAGACTAAAGACCATACACAGTCTACTGCCTGCTCTTCCACATCACTCACTGAGTCACCTGCAAGACATTTCCCTCCAATGTCTCAGTTCCCATATGCAAGATAAGGGATAATTATACTTGCCTTCTTCCTGGGGGAAGGATTAGCTAATACACAGCTGAGTGATGGAAAGTGCAATAAATTGCTACGTATAGATAGACATCCAGACGTAAAAGGGAACTTGCTGCAAGTCTCAGCCAGATCAGACCCCTCCATTACCTCAGGCTTCTCCAGTTATCCAAATTTACTTCAAGTTCCTTTAGTCAAAGAAGTTTTATTTTTGAAGCTGCACTGCTGACAATGAGTGGACCTTTGTACAGGCAGGGATAAATTAAAATGAAGAATGCATGACCTCTGGCCTCAAAACTTTTCTTAGCAAGAGAGAAAGTCTCTAGACCTGCATAAAACGGTAGGGCGCTTTCCTGGAGGAAGAGCAGGTGGATCAACTGGTTGTAGTTCACTACCGTGTGCCTATAGATACAGCTTGCCACCTCTGGTGTGTGCAACTCAGCATCTCCAGATCAGGTCGCTACCAGCTGACACATTATGCACCTTTCTTCTCCATATCCAGTGTGCATGTTCATAGAAGAAAGTCACCTGGGACGACGCTACTGGAGACACCACCTGTGCCTTTTGCTGCAGCTTGTAGCTGCCACATTTAATTCAGTGCTGCAGAACCCTACAGCAAGGAATGGGGAATGGGGCTACATCACAGTCAAGGTAAGAGCCATGCTACTTCTGCCTTTAAACCGATTTAAAAGGGGCAGTTAAACCATGTAAAAGGCCAATTTTGTCACTTGTATAAGTGCCCTAATGCCAGAGGAGACTATACCCCTTTAATGTCATCACCATTTACATTTGCAGCGACATATTATGTTTTAATGTCACACTGTACACATGCAGCGGGGTATGAATTTAAGTTACTTTGTTACATAGTGAAGTAAAACACATGATGTATTTTAGTTTGCTACATAAATTGCAGCAATACATCTGGAGAAGGTGGTGGGGATGGTGCACAGGGCACTGGAAGCCCCGACATGCTCGTGAAAGCTTGGGCTTGGCAGACTTCCAGCCCCCTGTGCACCATCCCCACTGCCTTTTCTGGCTGCCAGCTCACCCAGCCGCCGTCCAGCCACCTTCCCCTACTGCCCCAGAGGCAAGCCAGCCCATTTCTGGGCAGTCCTAGGCAGCAGGGATGGTGCATGGGGTGCTGGAAGTCTGCCAAGCCCAAGTTTCTCCCAGCACACCCGGGCACCGTTGGATCCGGCAGCTGCTGCCTGCGACCTGGGGTAGCACCTGCCTGCTAGCACCCAGCCCAGGGGCACCACTGCCGGAGGGAAGCACCAGGCCCCTCTGCAGCTTGGGGCTGCCCAACCCTGCAGCAGCTCACTTGGGCAAGCTTCACCAAGAAAAACAAAAAAGCAGCGAGGGTCCCGTCCCCCCCGCCCTGCCTCTTCAGCAGAGCCTGCCCATCTCTCCTGCAACCAGGAGGTGAGCAGCCGGCGGGCCCTGAGCTGTGGGGGGATCTTGGCCCTTTCCTCTGCAGTGGCAGCACCCACCTGCTAGCAGCCTGCCCGAGTGGCCACGAGGGGAGCCGCTGCCCTGGAAGGAAGCACCAGGGACCCCCGCAGCTCAGGGGCAGCTTGGCCCACTGGCTGCCTCCCCCCCAGCCGAGCTATGGCCAACTTCATGACGGGGGGGAAGAAGGAAAATCAGACCCCTTGCCCCTTTTTTCTTATTTTTTTTTCTCAGCCGAGCCTGCCTGCATGAGCTGCCCCTGAGCTGCTGGGGGGCGCGGTCCTTCCCTCCGTGGTGGCAATGCTTGCCGGGACTGCCTGGGTGAGCTTCTAGTGGGCAAGTGCCGCCCCAGGGCCCCCAGCAGCCCAGCCCATGGCCACGGAGAGGTGGGCAGGCTCCACCAGAAAAAAAAAATAGAGCAGCAAGCCCCTTGCTGTTTTTTTGGTTTTTTCCCTCTGGTGGAGCCTACCCGCAGCTGGGGGGAGGAGGGTTGAGCTGCCAGCAGGCTGTCACTGTTCCGTAACAGAGATGGAAGTCCTTAAATTGAAATGGTGGGTTTTTAAATCGACACAATTAAAAACCCACCATTTCAATTTAGAGAACTAAATCCCTATCATGTGTACAGGCGGCCTTAGAAGATGCTATAATCCCCTCCAACATGAGGGCAACTGGGACACAAATACCTAAGGGGTTAAAGATATTCCTTGCCACTTAGTGTTTTCCTCCAGAAGAACAGAAGGAAATAGTGAGTCAAAGAGGCTGCCCACAGTTGTGAGGAGGTGAATTGTTGGACTGTACACTGTCTGTCTACAGAAGCTGACAAGAGTTGCGTTATCTTTCTGCTTTCTCAGACATGCCTGCAGCTTTTCCAGGTAATGTCAAAGGAAGTGGCCCCTTTGGTCTGGAGTGAAGTAGAAAGCAGTGAAACCCTGCAGAGTATTCTGGGAGCTCTGGTGCAAGTCATCATGGGGAAGGTAATTATAGTCCTGGCAGGTATCTGACCCTAGCCACAATGAGAGCAACCAAGCTGGAGCTGTAAACCTGAGTTCACAAGAAGCCTATTTGAGTGGAGAAATTGTGTCCACATAACGGGGAGGGGGCAGGTGAGCCTAACAGTTTAAGTTGATTAACAAAAGCAGATCTACATTCTGGAATTCCTACTTTATAAATGGGGGGGAAAAACAGGCAGAAAGAATATAGTCTTCTAACAAAAGTTCCTGCTATGGAAAAGTACCAGCTCCTCATAGCTCCTGTTGATATGAGTGCAGTTCATGCAACAACTGTAACACTTAAGTGCGAGTAGAATGCAGCACTGGTGCTTTGTTAGGTGATAATTCCAGGCAACATGCATCCATGTAGGTAGGGATAGCCCTGTTGGCATGGTGTTTGAGGTGTCTGTGCAAATGTGTCCCCTAAAACACAAGTGAGAATGCAGAAAGAGGGGGTGGCTAGGAGTTGTGCCAGTAGCAGGTCTCCTGGCTTTCACTGTGTGCTGCAAAAAAGCACGGCCTAAGCACACTAGACTTTAAAAGTGCATGTGCCCTAAGCAAGTGGAAGAGTGCAAGAGATAGTGTTCAAATGGCCTCTAAGGACTGAAAGTTTTTTAAAAACCATGCATTGTTTCTTCTGGTGACTTCAGACAGCCAACAAGGACACCCGCCTGCTGGCTGGCACCGCTCTGAGCATGCTAGTGAACACTGCTCTCCAGCCAGCACTAGGAGCCAGGTCTGTGCTGACTCTCTTCCAGCTATTCAACCAAGGTGCGTGCTGGATCACAACAATCCTGCATAGTGCTAGGCCTCCCAGGGGTGTATTCAGGTGGACAAGCCTCATTGCCTCTATGGTGACAGAGGGGAAGTGACCTACCCATGGTTACGTAACAGAGCCCTACTAGCCTGATTCATAACAGGGATCTTCCATCCGGCTGAAGACACTAATAAGAACTAGATGTCAGGCTTCCTAATTCAGGCATGGTAGATTACACTCTGACCTTTTCTGCAGACTGAGTTCCCCCATCTGGAGTAGGATCCATATGAATTGAATGTGGGCAGTTTCAGTCATACAGATCAGTCTGAGAGCAAGAGGCTGCTTAACAGAGGCCCCAGCCTGCAGCCAGCTCAGCTTCACATTGGCCGTATAAGAGCAGTGCTTTGTCAAGCCATGCCAGGCATTAGCCTCTCACATTTAGAAGTATTGGAGCAAGCTTGGAAAATAGTCTGAAATAAACAGCAAACTGGAGACATCTCTACTCTGTTCTAATGTCATGATTCCATCTAGGGCCAGGAGAACTGAGGTTTGGGGAACTGAAGGTAGACACCTGTGTCCCAAGTCCAGACGGATTGGAGAGGCTGGTGCTTACCAGGGGTCTGCTAACTTGCTGCAAGAACAAAATCCTGAGCAGCAGGCTGGAGAGCCACCCACACCAGGTAGGAGAGATCTCTAGGTCAGTAGAGTGATCTGGGAACCCACAGGAGTGAGGCAGCTGGGGCGTTGGACTGGAGTTTTAGAAAGCCTTTCACCTCTTACACTGGGAGTCAGTTGAGCAAGTATTAGGGACGGCTCTAGATACTGTGGGCTGTCATCATCACTACTAGCGCAGTCCCTTCTTTTTACCTCAGCTGAGCTGTTCCACTCTGCACTTGCAGCATATTTAGCCCAGAGAGTTGAAAAATAAAAGTGCAGACAAAAACCTTAACACATGCTAGTCACATGCTTAAAATATAGCTGTGATCTACACAGGTCTTTGTTCTGCTCAGAGACAGGCAGTTTCCTCCAAGCCTGGGAGCATGCCAACACTGCAAGCTTGTGTCAAGCTATGGCACCCTCAAGACATACTACATGACTCTGTAGTTTAGAACCATCACTTACAACCATTTGCTGGTTAGAAATATCACGCGGGTAACCTGTATCAGAGTAACCACCCCCCAGCTGCTAGCTAAACTACTCACTGGAAATAGAAGCGAGGCCTGGCAGCTCCAAAGACACAAGACTCCATCCGCTGGGCAAAGCAGCAGCTGTCAGCTGACAGTATTAGAGCTTATCCATAGGACTGTTACAAGGCCCCCTAACCACATGCTTTCTTTTTTGTGTTGGTGCGTGGGATGGGGAGGGGAAGCAAACACCTCTCAACTGTAGCAGTAAAGGAAGGAGTGCTACTGTAGAGAGGGCCGTAGTCAAAAGATAGGAACATTTCATGTCACTGAAAAAGTGGTTGCCCCTGCAGCAGTGGTCAGAAGGCCAAGTTCAGTGGCCAAAGGATGACAAATTAGAAATGCATTTCTTGTCTTGGCCAGAACTTTGCCAGGTTAGCACATGACAGTTAAACCTGGCCATTTAGGGGGACATGTGAGGAAGCCTCCATGGAGTGGAAGTCTGAGACAAAATTGTTCAGAGGCAGGTTGATCTAGTGTATCGAAAGTATTGCCAGCTTTCATAGATTGTAGAGTCGGAAGGGACCACAAAGGATCATCATCATTTCTGACCCCCTGCCCCTGGCAGGAAGGAGGACTGAGGTCAGATGACCCCAGTCAGGTGTCTGTCAAGCCTCCTCTTGAAGACCTCCAAGGTTAGTCAGGCAGACTAGTAGCAGCAACTTGTGTAGCACCTAGACTAGCTCTAATCATGGAAGAAGCTTCATTGCTAGGGACTGTTTCAGGAAGGACAAAAACTAGAAAACATACTCTAGAAGACAACCCCCCTTCCCCAGGGACATTGCCACTGGTGACAGGATGAACTAGTCTTGCCCTCTTGGGACAGCTCAAAGTTTCAAACAACTCTTCTGAAAAGCAGCAAGAAAATCAGTTAGCCACACAAACAGTTGTAACCATGTTCATACCTGCTGTCACCACTGCTTTGCTGCATGGATTTCTTGTGGAGGAACCATGGTATTTGCAGCTTACCAAGTGCTTTTGCATAATGCTCTTTTTTGCTCTGCAGGCTTGTCTCTTGCTGGATGTGCTATTTCCAGTTGTGTACGCCCTGAACAAAGAGCAGAAAGATCATCGTTACTACTGTTTCCAAGGTAATAGGGATGTGGCTCCACAAGGAGTATTTCAGAGGCCAGCCACTCTCCCAATCCTCTGTTGCAGAAACCACAAACCTCCCATAGCTTTTTGGTGTGCTGCTCAGGGAGATGCATTTGAGGGAGACTTGGTTCTAGCTCACCTGTATAGCACATTTGAAGGCATAGAGGAAACATGACATTTGTTTCTGAGATTACTATCAAACCCTGCCTATAGCCCTCTATAAACCACCCATCTTACACATTTATACACTAGTCTTTCCCCTTTTTTTGGAGGGGGGGCAGGGAACCTAACCCAGTTGGGGCTCAAGGCAAAAAAAAAAGATATTTAATAAATGAGAAATCTTAAGGGAAGCTCTGTTCCAAGAGGCTGGCATTCCCTCAGCACAGAAAGGCTCACTCCAGCTAGAATGAACCTATTCTGAAGGGCTGTGTGTGAATTTTTGCTGCTTTTCTCTTGTACTAATCCAGTGGCTTTCAACCTGTGGTCCACAGGCTCCTAGGGGGTCTGTGAAAGATTACTATGATCAGTCAAATGTATGTGAATACCCACACTTGCAATTCAAAGGGGTCGTCACCTCCATTTGAAATTTCCAGAGGGGTCCACAAATGAAAGTTTGAAACCACTGTACTAATCTGTTTTGTGCCTTTAGTTTTCTCCCTCTGGCTACAACGCATCCAAGAAAACCTAACCACGATCTGGGAAGTGAAGGAGGGACGCATACTGGCCCAGAACTCTGAACTTCTTCATCAGCTGACCCAGTTGGTCTGGAATAACGCAGAAAGCCTGGTAAGATAAACCTTGTCCACATAGTACAGCTCATGCAGATCATACACACTTGCAGATACCAAGTCTCCATCCTTTCTCCTTTTACTTGGCCTGATCAATACCCCACCCTCCCAACCCATGTCACTCACTGTATCTTTGCAGAATACATCAAGTTAAGAGGCACACTAAATTGCCCTTACACTGAACCCCCCTGCTCTTCACCAACACATCTTGCTACAATACTCACTTTAAGGGTGGGTCACCTTAGAATTACTTGGTTTATCCTGGCTGACAGAGTCTGTTCTGTCCTTTTAAGGCATCAGTCAACCAGCTGCTTCCCAGCTCCAGTAAGCCAAATACTAATACCAACACTTATGCCCAGCAGTGCCTTACTTGGAGAGTAGCACCTCTCCATTGGGTCATGAAGTTAAGGAGTCATTTTATTAGACACAGACTCAGGCACATTTCACCATGCTACAGTGGGCACAAGAATGCTTCAAGGCTGCATAACTTTTGATGTTTACCAAGTAGGACAGAAAATCCATAGCAATGCATATGAAGTTCCTCTGACAGTTCTCAGCAATGACATGGCAGAAAAAATAAATCTAATTTCAGTCTGCATTTCTTTCCTGGTTGTTCAGGTGGAAGGGGTGTCGGAGTTTGTACACAGTTCTTTTCAATTTCTCCTGGAGATTTACTGTCTGGAGTGCAATCACTTTGAGGACCCGAAGAGACCCCTCTATGAACAATTCCTGCAGAGAATCATCCTGATGCCCTGGCAGGTCAAAGCAAGATATTTCCCCCTCTGCGCAGTTCTACCCTACGTGGGCACAGAGAAAGTAAGAAAACATGCTGGGGACGTGCTGCCTCTGAGACAAAGGGGTGGGCTAAGCTAGTGCAGCAAGCCAGAGGTAGGTTTGAAAACAGCATTACACAAGCGAGAGGGAGCAGCCCACACCAAAGGGCCAGATGAAAGCCACGCATAGCACAGCTTGTACTTTGTTGTTCCTCAGTCACTGCTTAAAGCTTGAAGGGCTCATTGGTGCATATCCTCCTCCAAGAGGAGGAAAAGAGCTTGTGCTTGGGTAACAAGTTTCCTTAGCGACCCTGGGAGGGAAGGGGAGGCATGGGAATCAATCTGTTTACTAGCATGTGCACCTTTGCAGATGCAATATAACTTACTCCATGCATCAGAGGCCTTAAACCTAGCAGCAAATGAAGAACTTCCTTTGGTTCACATGTTAGGGGCTTGTGCTTTTCTTACTTCCCTTCTGTGATATTGCTATGTATATCCAGTTGGCTAAAGTCCAGCTGTATTGTCACTGCTGCTGAGATCCATCATGAGGTGCTAAACCCTCATTCCTTCCACCACCAGCCTGCTATTCTGGATGTCAATTTGCACATCAATGCAGAGTTCACACAGTAAGCATACACCTCCTCCAGAGCAAAACCCAGCTCTGTGGGTACATCCAACTGCAGTCAGAGGGGTTGATGCTACAGGGGTAAGCACACCCATGCTGGCATTAGTCTACCTAGTTTGGGCACCTGAATCAATTTTGTTAGCAACCTGAATATAAACTCAGGGCTTGCTGAAGTCTGTTGTCTTCACTTCTCTTGTAAATGGCTAAGGTAAAGTTAGCCACAGGCGTGCACCTCTGTACTGCAGTCATGCTTCCAATTACGGCAGGCATGCCTGTTGTTTCTTGGCAGCTAGCAAAATCCAAGAGGTGAGCAGACTTTATTTGCAGTTTGTCTGGTCTCTGGATTTTTAACCCAGTCTGACTTTGGATGTATTCCCACCCTCTCTGATGTGGTAATCAGGAGATTCAGGTTCTCTCTCCAACTACCACCCGACCTCCCACCACACTGAGAACAACTAGTTCTTCAGAGAACAGACAGACGGAACAATTGAGCCATTGCAGCCTATAGCTTGGGGGAAGACAAGTTTGTCTTTTACTACTTGGCAGAGGATTTGAATCCTGTCCTTGTCTGTAAAAGGCACCTGTTACTGTGGAGCCGAGCACTGCTCACTGCTTATGTTAATCAGGAGGTGTCACCTGTTCTGGGATCACTCTTTCCTTGTAGGTATGCCATTATTCTAATGCAGCATCAACTTTAGCTGCTAGGTTGGTGAATAAGGCTGTGTCTATTTCTTACATGTATGAAGAGAATTCAGGGGGCTTCCCAAAGCAAACGAGGCTAGTAAATTTGCAATGATTTTTCTAGGTACTAGATACCTATAAGGATCTTCCTCAGCACCTTCTGAACTGCCTTTCTACTAACCACCTGTGCCCTGCTGCCTCAGAGGTGTACAAGGCTATTTTGCAACAGCAGCACAAGGAGTGGGCCAAGGGAAAGGAACAGGTTACAGAGGAGAACCTGGCTCAGAAGTGGGCACTGCACTGGCTGCCAACGCTCTCCAGTGCCTTGAGCTCCCCCGTCTCCATCCTTCAGAGCAATGCTTCCAGTTACCTTCTTGTCTGGACTTTGCGGCTGTTCCCTTCTTCGTATCCTTTACTCGCAGAGGCCTTCAGCAGCGGGGACACTGCTCAGCTCCGGGCCTGGGTCACTCTTCTGAACGTTCGGAAAAACATCACTGGGGTCTTACCATCTGATAGCGAGACTGTGAAAAGACTGTCCTGCTGCTTGCACTCTGGAGAGGAGAATGTTCGCCTGGCAGCTCTGAGCCTCCTGTGCGGCAGCCCCAGGACCAATCAGGCCTTGTCCGAAATGGAAATCCGTCTCCTGAAAGAATTCTTGCCACTGAACTTGAACTGCGACTCGTCCTCTTTCCGGCAGCTGTTTCAGGCCTCAGTGAAGAAGGCTCTGGTCAGGCTGAGAGACAGCTGTCTCTCTCAGCTGCGTGGCAAGATGCAGAAAGCAGCTAAGAAGTCGGCAGAGACGGATCCAGAAAGGCCACTTGCCCAAGCAGTGGGTGAGGAAGCTGCAAGCCGGCCATTTCCAGCACCTTGCTTCATGCTTTTTTATGAATCTTGCTCCTGTTCCCATTTATTATTCATCTCCTCCCACCTCAGGGTCTGCCACAATTAGTTTCCCTGCCTCCCCATGCAAGCCACCATCTAACACCCTCCTCAGTGAGACATCTGGGCTGGAACCTACATATACTGAAGGGATTCACTTTCAGTGAAAGCTGAAATCAGCCCCCTGCCCCCAATGCCACAGCCATCCTGCTATTGCAGATCTCTTCAGAGCACCTTCATTCTTGGAGGATCCAGTGCCCCCAACCGTTCCTCCCTCTGTGCAGCTGCTCCCAAGTAACCCCGAGTTCTCTTTCCACTTGCAGATTTTGTGGAATGGTTGCTGCAGCTCAGCATTTCATTTCTGACCCCAGGGTCAAATTACCAGAGGAAGAAAACTGCCCTGCTCCTCCTGGCAGCTGTGCTGGAGACCTGCACTGATACCTGGAGCCCTGAGAAAAAGAAGGGGCAGCCTCCTCGTGAGTAATAGTGTCCCGTCCCCCCCTCCCCAGGAGATTGCGTCCTTTAGAATAGGCCGATCGCATTGTCTGCTGCAGCCCCATTTGGCCCAGAGGGGCCTGCCCTGGGACTTCAGAAATAGTGATCAGCATTTGCCCAAATTAAAATGCTACTACATAGTGACCTCACCATATGCAGTATTCTGTGTGAGTCATATTAGGATCATTTCAGAGGAGTGTTGCCCAGAAATAATGCAAACCTTCAGGTGTTTTTATTAACTGAACTTCTGTCTACTTATTTTGGCCTTCCAAAATTAGAGTGCTATCAGTGAACCACAGGGTGGGGGGAAGACCCAGGAGGCTCTCTCAACAACAAGAATGATTGGTGAAGCCTAAAGTCTTCAGCCACCCAAAAGCTCAGCTGATAGAAACCAGTTTGCAGCCAGACCCAGGCTGAGTTAACTGGGTAGGAGAAGTAGAAATGATTGTTGTCTCTGAGCACCAATGTGCTGTTGCTGGAAACTGAAGCCGAACTGGAAACTCCATTGCCTCACTCCCTGACACAGGAGTGCCTTTTAGTTAGATAGCATCGCTGTAGTGGCTCATCTTCCCTGACCTGCATATTAGTTCTTAGGGTCAAGCTTGTCCAGTATCCTGTGGTTACCAGTGGGCAGCCAGATGCCAAGTGCTATCAATTCCCAGTGGAGCCAGAGCTTACTACTTCACAAGCATGGACTGAGCCCCCTTTTTTTTTTTTAAAGTAGGCTACATAGAGCGCAAATGAATCTGGCTGGTCAGGTAAGGCATGAACAGGTTTACCTTCAAGAACAAGGCCCAGAGTTAGGGCTAGATAGTCATATTACAGACAAACCTTTCAGCATGGCAAATCTCACACTTGAAGGGAGTTGCCTTGAGGAATTATTACCATTTCCAGCCAGCTGAAGGCCTTTGACCTTTAGCTTCTTATAGCACCATTTCCAGCCATGAGGAACTGTGGCTTTTTTCCAAGGAAGAGTATGATTGTTTGATTCTGATTTTTGTGCCCCTTATTTCTTGCTTTGCTCTGATGTTAGACAAAAAGGCTTTTAGCCAAGCTTTGCCTCTCACTTAAGCAGGACCTGGGCCAGTCACTTTGGATTGGAGATTTGCTTCTTAGCAGAAGTTTAAAGGAGCATGTTTGGGTCTTAACAATCCACGTTGGGAATAGTCCCAACAACCTCTCACTGGGAATAGTCTTCACACACCTTGCCACCCTACACTAGAGGAGTTGAAATTTCCCAGAAGAATTGTGTATTTGGCTGTGTTGTTACCCAGCTGAATTCTACTCTAGATCAGACTTTGGGCTGTGAGGACCCCCTCTTTCCCAGGGACTGACACAACAAGCCAGAAGCTTTTACTAAAACATGGGACTAGCTTCCTTTGTTCCTTGCCCCTGTCATGTAGAGCACCAGAGCCCAGAGAAAGCTTCGTGTATGCACCTTTACATCTTGTTGTTCTGTCTGTACAGAAAACATGACCCTGCTGCTGAACTGGTCCAGGCAGAGGGGCTGCTGGGACTTTTTCTCCCAGAGGAACTTGTTGGCATTGCTGAGCTGTTTGCAGGACAGCACAAACGAGGTAAGCCGCCTCCTGTCCCCAGCATTTCCACATTCCTCAAGTGAGGGCAGGTAGAAATAGGTACTCAGAAGCAGCTTGACTAAAAGGGATTTGGGCAGGACCAGGACTGGTTGCCTGCTGTTCTTGCTCCTGTGGCAGTGCCCCAGCTGCTACTGGTAGCCCGTGTTTAAACAATCCTGTTCCCTGCCACAGTGCTGGAGGAGAGTAGCCTTCAAGACCAATTCCTGCTACATTCCTACTTAGCATCTCATGTGCAAAATCAGCTAGAGCCACACTGTCCTACAGCATCCCCA